AACCAGAGATAGGTAGGCAGGCAGCACGGAGCAGTGCATGTCACAAACAACTCAAAGTGCAGATTTCTTCATCCAAAGCTCTTTATTGTGTTTCATTTTTAATGTTAGCAGGCTTTACTTTGGTTATGACGATGTCTCTGCACAGGTCCAGTGGTCCTGAGCAGTGTGTTGTTGGAAGTTGTCCGAGCCTTCAACACCTACTGTCGAGAGATGCTGGGAGAGGAAACCATCACCAGCTCCGGCTTCTCAGGCAACCAGTTAGCCATGTAAGAGGGATCAATAAAAAATAACAAAAACAAGGATGTTCTCTGATACACAATGAATTGGACTTTCAACAAAAATAGAAACAAACAGAAACAGATCATGCAGTTGTTGTGTTTTTCTTTTACAGTAAAGTAAAAGAGAATAAGAATGCATCAGAGGTCATAAAGTCGATGAACATGCTGGTGAGCTCCATGAACAGTGAATACCTGTGGGAGTACATGACCCGACGCTTCTGCACTGCTGTCAGGTATGGCAGGGACGATGGGGACACTGATCATTAAAGGGAATTCTACGTGTTTAACTCTAAAACTTAAACTTATTAAATGTTGATGACACACATTCTGTCTCTTTTACAGGTTATACTGTTTTGTCTATTTACTTGTGTTGTATACACAAAATGACTTTCATTCCTGTTAATATTGTTCGTTCATTTATTTTTTATTTGTTTGTCTCGTCATTTTGTATTATTATTATTATTATTATTTTTTTAATACTACTGTTCTCAAATGTACTTTTATTTTTTCATGCTTATCTATTTATTTTTATTTAGTTATTGTATTTTATTTTTTGTGAGTTTTCCACTCTTGCACTTTTTATTCTTGTCTTTAAACTAAGAGGTCTATTTGTTGGACTGGGAGGGTTGTTTATAGGGAGAAGTGATACTGTATTTTTGAATGTTTCTGGGGAAAAAAAAGAAAAATGTTGACTGCATCCCAATTGCACTGTATGTCTTGAACTTGCTTTAATAAAAATATGTTGAAAAAAAAAAAGAAAACTCTAGAAAGTGCAATATTATAAGGGAGTCAGTATTTAAATACTGTACAACATTAGAGCAGTGGTGTTTAAAAGACATATTTAGTACATGTGGACTGTCCTTGTTTACTCTCAAGTATCAACTGAGAATGCCCTTTTCTTTTATTTCTCTCTTTACTTTAGTTACAAAGACGACCCACCGATGCCTCCTCAGCAGGACCGCTGTCACCCCGCTCCGTCCATCACAGAGATATCCAATCTCATCATTTTCCTGCTTGACGTCCTTCCTCTGGTAAAAAAAGCAAACAAACACTTGTACACCCTTTTGAAATATGCTAACTTTTTTTTTAAAGATGCAGATCCAAATTTAAATATTCTTATAATGTTGCTATGCCTATGAAAACACAGTGTTGTTGTTCTCCTTTTCTTAAAATCCAACAAACACTTTTCATGTATGTAAAGTAAACACCAGTATTTTCACAGAATAGAGAACCATTGCCTGCATTTCAAGTACTCAGTTCATGTAAATTTAAAACAATTATTGACTGTTTCAACCCAAGACTGACACATCTGACTAATGGAGGTTTCAACACATAGTTTGCTCTACATGTCCCTTTTTTCCCCCACAGGAGCTCCATGTTGACATCCAGTCCCAGTTCCTCCCGGAGATGCTGAGCACCATGCTGCAGACCCTCTCCAGCCACATGGACTCTGTCAGTCTGGAGGATGTCACACAGGGCCTGCGAGCTTGCTTCAAAGTCCTGAGTAAGATCCAGATGCCCGTGGCTTATATGGACATTGAGGCAGGGGCACACATAGATGACATGGAGTTACAGTTACCTGAGGAAGAGAGCCAGAAGACTGAGGTGAGGCATTCTGTTTGTCTGTGCCTCTGGAATTTATTTTAAAATTATGTGATTTTTCAAGAAGCATGGCTTCAGATTTGGAAAAATCAATCCACTTCAACAATTTTTTTTTTGTTGGCGAGACTTCTGCTGGAAAAATCTGATATGATTTTTTATTACCCCAAATCAGAAGTCAAAATTAAAGGGATACTTCACCCGTTGAAACATGAATCTGTGTTGACATTGGGTCATATATGTAGAAATGTGGTTGGTGCCTTCTTGACCGAGAAAAAGCAGAAAGTGTCTTTTTGGCTCATGTGGATGGAAGACACCAAATCCCAGAATGCACTCCCACTAAGGTTTATTAATCCAATCGTTACAGTTTCTCCAAAATATACAGTATAGCAGTAGAAATATATTAATAAAAACATTTACAGACATATTTACTTCATGAGACTGTTTCCTCAACTGATTCAGAGATTTCTTTCAGAATTGATCTTGTAAATTCCTGTCAGAAAACAGACTCTATGTCTGAGTCCAGAGACAAACAGTGAGAGCACCGACACTACCAGTCCGCCCCAGCTCGAGCCGGCCCCGGCTCCTCGTCCTCACTGGAAGCTCCTTTTCAGACTCAGAAATACAAAGATTTCTCATCTCAGGGGAAAATGAGGGCGGGATGCACGACCATTCAAAAATACTACCAGGTTTCTAATGATACAAAGATTAATGCTAATGGGTGAAGTGTCCCTTTAAGTGGTTCTCCAGCCTCATGCTGGAGGGGATGTGGAGTGGTCTCGGCAGACTGTGTACATGTTTTTTGGTCTTGTCCACGTCTTGAGCCCTTCTGGAAAGATGTGAAACTATTAATCGCAGAGACTCTGAACATCACATTGGATTTCTCTTTCACATCCCTCTACCTCTAAAAGATTCCAGAAGGTCTTGGTAAAAAGGACATATACCTTTTAAAGATTCTAAACGTTGGCTTCAGAGGAACCCTCCTACCATGAGACTCTTGAGGAACATTGTGAATTCCATCAGCTTTATGGAAAAAATGACTTTTGTCCTGCGACTTCTAAAAGGAGAAGGGAGAACAATATTGGAGAAAATGTGATTTATACAAAGATAAAGACTAAAATGTACAATCCATTATGTACTGTACCTGTGCCTTTTACATTCTTGTATTTGATCTTATTCATACTGTCTTGCCCAAGTCCTCACTTGTTAACTTGGAACAAAAATTAAAATTAAAAAACATTATGTGATTTTTTTTTTACTGACTTATCGTATTTTTTTATTCTTCAGGACATCGAGGGCAAGAAAGATGCTGGTGTTGATCAGGTTAATGGTCATCATGAAGAGGAGGAGCTGAACGGAGGAGATGAGGGAGCGCATGCGGGTAATTTCTACCCCACGCTGAGATCTGAAGACAGTGGATTGGGTATCAGCGCCTCACCCTCGGAGCAACAAATCCCACCAGGACTGGGGCCGACGGCGGGGGAAAATGGAATTTACAAAGACGGTGAAGGAGTGTGGAGGAGGGGAGGCAGCGTAGACACCATGAACAAGTGTCTGCAGGACATCCTGGCTTTTATAACAACGAGGTAAATTACAAAAAGCCATTATCAAAGTCACTGTGTGTTGACCTCTCTTCTAGTTTTCTGAGTCATTTTACTCCTCCTACTGTGTTTCAGATATTTGCTGGTGCAGGTGGAGGATGTCAGGGGCGTGGAGGAAGTACCCCAACCTCCTGACACAACGACTCCCCCTGTGGATCAGAACACAGTGTCACCGGTCACCGGGGGACAGGAAATAAAAGACAAACAAACTGAACAGTTCACTTCAACCAAAGTTAAACCCCACCCGTCATCGGACGCCCAGCTGGAAGCAGCGCCCACCGAGAAGAAGAAGAAGGTGCACGGGTGTCTGGACTGGGCAGCGGGGTACATGCCCCGAGGCAGGGCGGAGATCTCTGAAGCCTGTCGACAGGCCTTCACTGCCACCTGCCACCTGCTGCTGGAGTGCACCACTTTCCCGTGTACCTGACGGAAGAGGAGACCCAGGCTCTCCACACGGACATGTTTGGGAACACAGGTCAGCACAACTTTTAAAGTCCAGCTGTTTTTACCAAAACAGTGTTACGTCCTTCTCCGCTAAAAGTGAAATAATTAAAGGGATACTTCACCCGTTGAAACATGAATCTGTATTGACAGATTTATTTTAAGTGATGCAACTTTGCCTGATAGGACTGTCTGCCAAGATTGTGTTTAAATGAAGACACTCTTGATTTATGTTGTTATATTATATTTTGTAGCTCAACCGCTTTTTGGCTCAGGCTCTCAAACACTCTGATTAAAAAGAAAACTTCCTAAAAATACAACAATTTAAAATACCTTACTGTGTGAATCGGATTTAGTGCATATATGTGTAATTCAATTGTTTCTGTTTTCCACAGGCAGTGAGGTGGACAGGCTGCCTGTTTGGCTGAGGTCCTTGATGACCCTGTGCTGCCTGTCCAGAGACTACAACATCCAGCACACTGCAGTGGCCTCCCTGCTGGAACTCATCAACCACTCCCAGTCCTTAGCACTGGTCATCGAGGACAAACACAGACGCTACCAGACGTCAAGCTCCAACCCTCTGAGTGGACGTCTCCAGATGGTCACTGTGCCGCCCATCTACCCCGCTCTGCTTCAGGCCATAGAGGAGGGAACAGATTTCTTTCAGGTTAGAATGTCAAATAGAAAAATGTTGTAACTCAGAGCTGTAGTAAAAATAAAGATTTTGTTTTGAGTTTTTGTTACTTTTTTAAAATTGTATTCAGAGGGTGTCCCAGGTATTGTGGAGCCAGTTGGACACCGAGCGGAGAGAGCAGCACATTTCCTGTGTGGAGCTCTTCTACAGGCTTCACTGTTTGGCTCCATCAGCGTCCATCTGTGAAGACATCATATGCCAGGCACTATTGCACAAGGACAAGGTGAATATATCGGCACAGATAATCAACCACAATGTGTTAACACATTTTAAGGTTCTCCTGGAGTTCTTAAAGGACCTTATAGGAAATGTAGCCATGCTTGCCCTGTGTTTGTTTCCCCCCAGTCTGTCAGGCTGGAAGCACTACACCGCTTCACAGTACTGTGGCACCTGACCCGAGAGATCCAGAACAACAGGACCATGTCTCTCAATCGCTCCTTTGACAGGTTCGTACATCAGCATGCAGAAGCAATTCATCATTAAGAAAAATTATTATAAACATATTTTTATTGAATTTTACATTTATCAGGACATGTACAATATATGCATGTAACAAAAGTATGACATGAAACAACCCTCCAAAAATAGAACATGTGGCAGTACATCAATAACACAAGAATAATAAAAGTAATTTGTAAAATACAAATGAAAAAATAAATAAGTGAAATAATAAACAGTCACATTTGACACATATTTCTCACAGTTCACATTCATGCTTTCAATAAATTGTCCAAGTCAGCATTTTTAACAAATTCCAAAAAAACTCCCAAATTTACCAAATTCTGAAGCTTTCTTCCTAACTATATATGTAAGTTTTTCAAGAGCCAGACTTACTGATAATTCTTTTAACCAACGTCCAAGAGAGGGACTACTTACATTTTTCCAACAGAGCAATTGAACGCCTCGCCTGTAATAAACATTAGATCCACCATTACCCTCTCTCTTTTAGAAAGAAACAGACTCGTTCAGAAAAATGAATGGTAGATAATGTTTTACTTTATGTACCTCTGTCTCTGAGACTTTCCTGATTAATTGTGTGTGTTAGTCTCCCTCTGATAGTGGATTAACCTGCAACACAAGTAGGCATCAGTGCATAGTGGGAAATAGCAAAAGAAAAGTTGGAATAAGTTCCACTGTGCAGTTGTGTTGTTATTTTATTACCTCAGACCACAGAAGTAGAGCAGATAAAAACTGCACTCATGCCCTAACCCTAATAAGTAAATATGTGATATCGGTGTACATAAAATGATGAACTTGATGCAGATTGCAAAAAAATGCAAAAGCTGCAGATTTAATAAGACTCAAGACATAGCCTGCTTCTTTATATCAGTTCATCCATCATGAGAAACATAAAAGTATAATCTTCTCTTTGGTCATTTTCTCTAACAAAACCGTTCCGTCTGAGGGAGGCCCAGTTGTCCCGTACTGTGCTGAAGCATGATTGCTCCATGTGTTTCTCCTTCAGGTCTCTGTGCGTCGTGGTGGACAGTCTGAGCTGTACAGACGGCTCGATAAGCGCAGCAGCTCAGTGCTGGCTCGTCAGGGCTCTTTCCCTCGGTGATGTGATTAGAATCCTGGAGCCTATTCTGCTGTTGCTGCTTCACCCGTCCACTCAGCGCTGCTCTATTCAGAGCATCAAACAGAACCTCACTGCTGGTAAGAGCATCTACTGGTGTGTGTGTTGCATGTGTAGTGTTTCTGAATAAATGGCAATTTTATTTTATTTTTTCTTATCTTGTAGTTGACCTGAAAATTCAAGGCAACAGAAGTCGAAGCTCCACCAAAACTTCTGGGACATCCGCAGATTCTATGGCGACAGAGGTCACCACTTTGAATCTCATGAACATTGTGGACCGAGAGGCTCTGTGGGCGGAGTTAGACTGCGGCGCCGAGTCAACCCAGACGCCGTGCGGCTTAGCGGTTTCAAGGAGTGAGAGTGAAGAGACAGAAGAGGAGGATAAACAAGACGAGGAGGAGGAGGAGGAGGAAGAAGCTGATAGTGAACACACAGAGTCAGCCGACACCAGCGGCGCCCAGGTATCCACTGAAAACTCCAGCTCAGGATCCGTTCCATTCCGCAGCACCGATGAAGGAGGCGTGGTCAACGGCCTGCGCAGGGCGGAGTCCGAGCGCACGCAGGCTTCTGATTCACTGTCGAGTGAGGACGAGGAGGATTTAGAGCTGGAGGCCATCGCCCGGTCCCGCCTGCTGAAACAGGAGCGAGAGAAGAGGGAGGCCATCGACTCTCTGTTCCGTCATGTGCTGCTGTATCCCGCTGCGGGCGGCTGGCGCCACCTCCTGCAGGGCTTGGCACTTCTTGACAGCCTTCTGAAGAGCAGCGCTGAGTGTCCCCTCGTGGATGCTCTGTCTAACACCTCTCTGGACACGAGCTCTGCCGCACATCTCAACCTGGTCTCTAACCTCCTGCAGCGCCACCAACAGGCTCAGGACGGTAAAGGCTTCTACAGCGGGCTTCTCTCTCCTTCCTCGCCGTCGTCCATGCCCCCGTCCCTGCTCATTGAACTGCTTGTGTCCTTGTGTTTGCGATTCCTGCGCTCTCATTACCCCTCTTATGTGAGTCTGGGTCCTCTCGACCTTCAGGGGAACAGGGAGGTGCAGGTGAAGAGCGTGGAGGTGCTGACCCACATGGTGAATCAGCTCGGCTGCATGGCGCGCGGACAACAGGGCAGTGGGAGTCTGGAGCCGATTCGCAAGCTCCTCTCAGGATGTAAGGTGCAGCAATATGCTCTGCTCACACTTTCTGCATCCATGTATGTCAGCCAAAGGGGGACAGACAAGGGACCACCCAAGGTTGTGGAGGTGCTGGGTGAGCAGGGAAGCCTGTCAGAGGAGAGTCTGGTGAATCTGGGAACAGGAGGGGGGCAGGAACAGTACACTTTACAAATGGAGTTACTGAAACTCCTCCAGGCTCTCATCGTCCTGGAGCACCATATTTGTCCAGGTGGAGCTGCAGCGGGGTCAGGTGGAGCCTCCGGCCAACCAGGGGAGCCTCGTGAAACCCCAACAGCCAGCACCCCCCTCGCTCGAGAGTGGCAAACCTCAGTCCTTTTTCAGCAGTCCATCAAGGCAGCTCAGTACGTCCAGAGCCATCCAATCATAGCCCAGGGAATGTTTGTGTCTGCGGCGGCCAGGTCCCTGCAGCCGCAGTACGGCTACGCCATGCACCCCCACTGGGTCTCACTGCTGGTCTCCTGTCTGCCGTACCTGGGGCGCTCGTTGGGCATCATTGTGGCTCCACTCATCAGCCAGATCTGCAAAAACTTGGACGAGCTGGTAAAGCTTTACGAGCATGACGGAGGAAAAACAAATCAGAGGTAAAGCTCGAAAACAGAATTTTATGACAATATGAGAATTTTTTTTGTGATACATTTTTTATTATTTATGTTTAAATATTGTCACTTACAATAAGGGAAAAAACAAGATGTTGTGGCTTTAATAACAGCCCACAAATATACAGGAGAGGAGAATCATATACAGTATATATCATATACATAATTCCTTATACAATACATTTTAAAAGAAGGGATGAAAACAGCAGACTAAAGGGGGCAAACAAAGATTGAATCATCTCTCTCCCCTGGATTACCACAACACAGAAAGTATACAAATAAGTGAAGAATAATGGCAATGAGGGGGGCAAAGAAAAGAATTCCTCCAATATATCCCTCCCTCTAATAGAAATATTATTTTTAACCGCCCAATACCTGACTGTAACTGTTTTATCTGATTTTAATTACTGACTTATCACTGTAGTAATTTGTGTTTATATTTTATTGTTCTTATTGCTCTTTTATTGATTTTATTTTCTGTAGTAGCTTTATCTCATTTCTCGTTGTTTATCATTTCTGTATGTTTTCTCAGCATCATTGTAAATGAGGGTCGCCCTCAATGATCTCTCCGAGAACTTAAATAAAGGTTGATGATGATGATAGTTCCAAAAGTCTGATCTTTGAATTGCAGAATTCAGCCGCTGATCAGATTTGATGACGGTGCTTTCAATGAAATGTTTGCTCTACGTTTCTGTCTCGTGAACAGCTTGAGTGGGAGGAGAGAAAACATTTCCCCGGACTATCCTCTGACTCTGCTCGAAGGCCTGACCTCCATCACACACCACTGTCTGTTGGACAACAAGAGGGTGAGACGTGAAGACGCACAAAGACACACTGCTATGCATGTGTCTTCTTACTTTAATGATACCCAACGTTTTTCCTGTCGTCCTCTCCGTCAGTCGTTGGTCGCCTGTGATCCTGTGGACGTCCGTAATGCACGCAGCGCTGTGATTGAAGAACTGCCGCACATGCTGAGCAGTATGGCGTTGTTATGGGGTGTTGTCATGAGGGAGGAGCTTCAGAGGCGCACGTCTGACTCTGGTCAGAGCAGCAGACACTCTTCTACCTCTGTCTATTTTAAAAGCACAAAGGTGGGTGTTTCTATGAATACAATTTCTCAGCTTTTTTTTATGGCATCACAAATGTAAGTGATGACATATCTGGTAAAAAATACATACTTGTATGTTTTTTTATGTTTGCATATTTCATCCTTTTTAGTCCTGAACATATTTTAGTATTTTGATATGTCAGAAAATAACAATTTGTGTGCATGTGTAGATTCTAAAGCAGCGGATACTGGAGTTCCTGGTTCCTCTAACTCTTCAGTATGGGGTTCAGCTTATGGCTTCACTGGGAGCAGTGTGGAGCAGGAGAAAGAGTAAAAGGAGACATAAAAACAAAGTAAGAACTGCGTCATGTTTTTAAAAAAACCCAACAACCTGTCAAATCAATCCAACTGGTAGATAAAACATATTTTTGTTTTTCTTTAGGTCTTACCTGTTGCCAGTGAGTCTCGTCTGACCATTGTGGATTTGGTGAAATCCCTGCACACCTTGCACACAGATACCATCTTACAACTGGTCAAGGAAGTGGTGAAAAAACCTCATCAGATCAAAGGAGAACAGGTGAACAGACCTGCACACATTTAAGATGCTTGAAGCTTTTACTCTTATTCTTAAGTCAGTTTCCTTCATCTTTGTAACAATTTTTACTTTTCTCTCTAGAAGAAGTCAACCCTGGTAGATATTCCCATGTTGCAGTTCAGCTACACTTATATCCAGAGGTATGTAGGAAATATAAGACCCATCTCAGGTTTAAGACCACCATTACAAATGTGTTCTAGTTTTGAATAATCTCTAAATTTCTGTGTGCAGTATTTCAGCTCAGGTGCTGCAGGAAAACGTTGCTACCCTCCTCAGTCTTTTACGGGAGTCTGTTCAGCTCAACCTGGCCCCACCTGGACACTTCTTACTGCTGGGGTCAGTTCTGTCTTTATGTTAGTTATGTTATAAGTTGTGCTTGGACTTCTGTGCTTAAAGTCTTTAAATGTGATTTTTCACCCTTAAATGTAGAAATCAAGTATCTCCTCTGAAAATAACTCTGTGAGTCATGACTGTCTACAATGGGTGTAACACCCGAGTCCCACTGTCTGTGATGTTTTCAGAGTTTTCAGAGTCCTATCTTCACTTTGTTTACATCGCCAGGACGGCCGGCTGACTCCTCCCCTCGTGTATAAAAGTAGTTTAATTGAGGGACTAGAGAAAAGAAGAATAACATACTGTACTCACTGCTTAACTGTGTTTCTAGATCACGCTCATTTCAGGTAAATTTACATGCAGTGTGAAGATACCAGCAGAATAAAGATCGCTAGCATTAGCATGCTAACACAACAATGCAGCGCCAGTTGTTTTGGTTTCATGCTGGTGCTCAAGGGCGACATCTGCTGGATCAAAACATCACATATAAAGCCTTTAACCAGCAACAGATTACTGTGTCCTTGTTTAAAAATGCTATGTTTATTGACTGCTTCTTTTTTTTTTTTTTTTTTAGAATCCTCAATGATTTTGTCAACAGGCTCCCCAACCTGGACAACAAGAAGGACTCTCGAGACATGCAGGTACGATGTTTCCAGCTATGTGTGGTTGAAATCATCCAGTGTTTCTGAGGTAATGTGGTGACACTGAAGGTGACGTTACCGTGCAGGAGGTGACTCAGCGGATCCTCGAGGCAGTGGGGGGGATCGCCGGCTCGTCTCTGGAGCAGACCAGCTGGCTCAGCCGCAGCCTTGAGGTCAAAGTTCAGCCACAGGTGTGCACAGAAGCAGATGACGGGGATGACGCAGACATTGAAGGTGACTATTATGAAAAGTTTGGACATCTCTGACAAATACATGCATCTTTTATTGCTAGCCCTTGAAAGCATAGACCGTATGAAACATGGATGTAGTCTCAGTGACGTCACCGATTGGTTTCTGAAAAGGTGTTGTGAAGCCTGTCGATTGTGGGAACCCATATTGGGCATTTATCGAAACCTAACTGTTAAAGAAAATGCACCAACCAAGGATTTTTAGAAAAAAAGTGTTACAGTCACAAACGGACTCTCCCGTCTTTCTCTTCTTGTCAGAGTCGATGGCTCAAGCTAGCACCATGGTTTCCTCTTCAGCTCCCTCAGTTTACAGCGTGCAAGCTCTTATACTCCTGGCTGAGGTAAGTTTTGAAGCTTTAGTGAATGGATGGATATTTGCCTGTTTGTTTGCTTATAACACATTTTCTCCTTGTCTAGGTCTTGGCACCACTTCTGGACATGGTTTACCGCAGTGACGAGAAGGAGAAAGCCGTCCCTCTCATCTCTCGGCTCATGTACTATGTTTTCCCTTACCTGAAGAATCACAGGTAACTGCTGTACCTGCAGGCTTATATTAAAGGCTAACAGCTTCCATCCGTTTTGTCCTCATACACTCCTCACAATTTGGGCTGTCATTTTTTTCCAGTGCCTACAACATGCCAAGCTTTGAAGCCGGTGCTCAGCTGCTGAGCAGTTTGAGCGGGTATGCCTACACCAAGAGGGCGTGGAAGAAAGAGGTGTTTGAGCTCTTCATGGACCCCCTTTTCTTCACCATGGAGGCTTCCTGTGCTCCAAGGTTTGTTTGTTGCTGGTGAAAGGAAATTCTCTCTCCCACACTCAAACCTTTTTTTGTATCTTAATGCATCGGAGGAGAGAGACAGAAGAGATGTGACACGTTCATCTTTCACATGACAGCCTGAAATCAAAGTTAGAATAACTATGACTTACTCCTTTTCTTAGTACTGTTTATATGTCAATACTACAACGGAGGATTAGGGCCTCGTTACATTTTTTCATTTTTTCTTATTTCGAGATTAAACTCTTAAATTTACAAGATTAAACTCGTAAATTTACAAGATTAAACTCTTAAATTTACAAGATTAAACTTGTAAATTTACAAGATTAAACTCTTAAATTTACAAGATTAAACTCGTAAATTTACAAGATTAAACTCGTAAATTTACAAGATTAAACTCGTAAATTTACAAGCTTAAACTCTTAAATTTACAAGCTTAAACTCTTAAATTTACAAGATTAAACTCGTAAATTTACAAGATTAAACTCTTAAATTTACAAGCTTAAACTTGTAAATTTACAAGATTAAACTCTTAAATTTACAAGATTAAACTCGTAAATTTACAAGATTAAACTCGTCGATTTCCGAGTTCAAGACCAGCCTGTCCGAAATTTATAAAAGTAGAAATCTTAAAGTCTTTAAAGAATGAAAGAATAAAGTGGTTATTTTAGTCTATGTCAGAAGAGCAGCAGCATCCTGTTCTCAAATGATGAACATGGAGCATCTTGTCCTAAAGGTTTCACTAATAAGGAAATAGGCTCAAATTTAACATGGTGCTAATCCTCCATCGTACTTAAATGCTACTTGCTAAAGTATTTAATTTTGTTACACAAATGAAATGAAAAATAATAATGTTTAATGTTCTTTGTCTGACTTCTGTTTGTTCTCTATAGCTGGAAATCCATCATTGACCACCTGCTGACTCATGAGAAGACGATGTTTAAAGACCTGATGAGTGAGTACAGTCTCTGTTAAAGGTTTGTGGTGCTTTAGGACGCGGGTCACACTGGCAATCCGTAATGCCTAAGCACGCTTCACCCCTAAAGTCCAGTTTGTGTGACCGCTCCATACTGCGCTCAAGCACGACGCACTTCCTTGGCCCAGACAATCGTGCTTGGACAACTTTGCCAGTGTGACCGCACCCTTAGTAAAGGAGAGGGGTTCACTGTGACACAGAAGTCATATGTGTTACTTTTCAAATCAAGTAAATAAAGTTTCAAACGTGTGCAGTTAAAATGCCAAATGTTAAAGCAGTGTGTAATACTCAGGATCTAACCATAGCATCCTGTAATCTGTCACAAACCTGGGTACATTTCTACTGCAGGTATGCAGAGTGGCTCCCTGAAACTGTTCAATAACGTAGACCAGAAACCCATGCTGCTAAAGCGCCAGGCGTTTGCCATGTTCAGCGGAGAACAGGATCAGTACCATCTGTATCTGCCCCTCATCCAAGGTATGGTACCAGATATTTCTGTTCTTGTTTTTTATATGTAAATATTCATTTAAGTGGGAAATATGAGTAGTTACACACACTAAGATTATTTTTTTCTTTTAGTCCACTGCACAGCTCCTACATTACACCTTTTGTACATTTTGTGTTTTTTCTATTTTCTATTTTTAAATTCTATTTTATATATTCTAATATCTTCTTATTCTGTATTATTTAAGTTGTTGTTAGTTCTGTTTTATTTCCTTGTTAATTGTTTAGCACCAATACACCAAGTTAAATTCCTTTATGTGTAAATGTACTTGGCAATAAACCCAGATTCTGATTCTGATTCTGATCCTGATTCTGATTCTGATCCTGATTCTGATCCTGATTCTGATCCTGATTCTGATCCTGATTCTGATTCTGATTCTGATTCTGATCCTGATTCTGATTCTGATTCTGATTCTGATTCTGATCCTGATTCTGATCCTGATTCTGATTCTGATTCTGATTCTGATCCTGATTCTGATTCTGATTCTGATTCTGATCCTGATTCTGATTCTGATCCTGATTCTGATTCTGATTCTGATTCTGATCCTGATTCTGATTCTGATTCTGATCCTGATTCTGATTCTGATTCTGATCCTGATATATTTAAATTGACCTTGTTCTTCTAACACCTCACTCCCCTCCTCCCTCCTTTCAGAGCGTCTCACTGAGACTCTGCGTATGAACCCGAGCCCCGCTGTTTCAGCCCAGATTTTTTTGATGTTTCGGGTTCTCCTTTTGCGGATCTCTTCCCAGCATCTCACGTCCCTTTGGCCGATCATGGTCACAGAACTGGTAAGATCCCACACACACACTGATGGGTCTGGCTTTACACAGCACCATTACTGTACAACCGCTTCATTAAAAAAAACCTCAGCTGTTTTTATTTATGTTTTTATTTATGTTTTTATTTATGCAATCTTGTCCTAAAAAAATGTCTAGAAAACTTCTGGACACCCAGACCGTTGAGTGTTCATGTTACAATCATTAAACAATTACAGACCAATTTCTAAACAAAAGTATTTGAAAAAATTATTAGTCAACAACTGAAGGATGTTTTGGATGCCAATAATGTGTTGTCTAAGTATCAGTCAGGTTTTAGAAAAAAACAACACTGTTACAGCTGCTCTTAAGGTTTTAACTGAGGTTAACTAAGGTTATTTATCTGGTTCAATCAAATAAGTCCCTCACAGTGTTTTCCCTGTCTGAAGGAGGAGGGGTCTTAGGAGGCTTCACATGATGTAAAAAAGGAAGCAGTGATCTAATTTCATAAGATATCCAAGACGGCAGAGTGATGTTTGACTGTAATGACAGTTTTTGCTTAATATCCATGCTACCTGATTTTGAACATATTCACAGCACCAACAGAAGAGTGGACATGAGCATCTTCAATATGTGCTCTATAATGATCGCACTGGTCACTCACTGGTCACTCACTGGTCACTCACTGGTCACTCACTGGTCACTCACTGGTCACTCACTGGTCACTCACTGGTCGCGTGACATAAACACATCATCACCTCCAACTATGCGCCTGCAGTAGATTATCCTGACTTCTACCTTCACATTGAAAAGTGTGTATTTCTAAAATAAACTATTACCCGTCCCATTCTCGATTCTGGACAAAACGAGTGCCTCAATGCAAACGTTAGACAACTAGTTCTTTCTTAAGGAGTTTAGTGTATGTATGAAAACAACTTAAATGTCTGTATTTCTTTCTTTTATTTTTTCAGATTCGCACATTTACACGTCTAGAGAAAACTCTGCAGACAGAAAAAGACGTCTCAAAGTAAGCTGAGAAATTTAATCGCAAAATCCTATTCCATTGACAAACTGTTGCCACCTTTAATTATAACACACTTACTTTTTTTTTGCCTACCTGAACAACACCTAGGCTGGCTAAAGTGGTGCGTAGCGCCCTTGACAGAAATGGACCGGTGAATTTCTCTCCAGCTGAGTTGGACATGTACCTTTCAGCCTGCAAGTTTCTGGACACCTCATTGGCTTTCCCTCCAGAGAAGATACCGCTCTTTCAGATGTAAGAGCACCTGACAAAGGATGATGTCATAGCATTAATTAGTTTGCCTTACCTTTTAAATGTGTAACTATTTGTTCCTGTGTCAGGTACCGTTGGGCATTCGTCCCTGAGGTGGATGTGGAGCGCTACAGCGGCCCTGTAGAGACTGTGCTGATGGAAGGCGAGCAGGAATGCATTCCCCATGTCGTCAGAGTCCTGGAAGGAATACAGCAGCGATACGGGGTGAGCTCATATGTTAAATTCAAAAATGATAAGACAGCCATTGTACTTCAACGTCGATAGTTTAACCATTCTAAATCAGCTGCAACATCTAGAATAGAATAGAATAGATGTTTATTGCCTTTGCACAGGTATAGGACAGTACAGGTACATTGGAATTTTTGTGTGTTCTCCCTGAGTCAGCTTCTACAAAAAAGTTAAAACTATCTATAAAATAGAATATAAGAAAAACAAGAGTAGAAAAGTACAAAGTTGTAGTAACAGCTAAGTAAATAAAAGTGTACTGAAGCTATACACTGTATTAAAGCAAAAAAAAATAACAATGAAATGAAAATATAAATATGTTTTCGTGTCTCTACTTTCTACATCTCTTATTGCACCTGAGGTTATTGCACACATATTTTTCACATTATATAATCACACTGTTTTTTGTTTTTAACCTTCTGTCGATCCTCACTCCATTTTTTGCCACAAAGACACATAAAGGGTGTTTATTTTTTTCAATCTCACCCTATCAAAAATTAAGAATGCATTTAAATCTTATTTGTTGCTCATCTTTGATATATCCATGGCTGCCATAACTCCGTTTAAGGAAATCTAATTTGCATTAAGTATATGAAAACTAATCATTTTTTTGTGTTTTTTACATACAAAACTACAGGGGGCGCTAAGTACTCAAACTGGCATTTAAAGGGTTAAAATCCTGAAAATGAATACTTTTTTTATATCAATCAACAGACCTGGAGTTGGTTAAAAAATGAAGTCAATCAAAGTAGGAAAAAACATTACTGTATCCTATTTTTATTTATGAACGGCTGCCATGTTTTGTCACGAGGGCGCCTAACGTTGCTTTTTGAATAGATAGTCTGAAGGTTAAGGTTAATATTGCACACTTGTATTGCAATACAATACAATACTTGTATCTGTGAGTGTTGTTCTATTGTTCACCTTTCCCTCCTTGGTGTCCTGTGCTGTTTTTCTAGACTCTGAATGGGCTGAGTGAGGAATCTTCCACAGAGCATTTGGAGTTCCCCCTCCTCACCCAACACTCCCTCGCCTCCATCACCCAGCTGTTGCCGTTCCTCCGCATCCTCTGCGGCTCCTTCCAGTGCCCTCCACCCTACAGCGACTCCATGCATCACTTCCCAGTCGCAGACTACCCGGCATCCAATTCAGAGACAGTTCTGAAGAGGCTGGAGCAAATCACTGAAGAAGAGTTCCTGGACTCTTTGGAGAGTTAAAGCATGAAGCTTTCATGAGCTCCAAATCCTCTTTTTAACCTGCAGCCGTCACAGTGGAAAACATTAAATAGGAACAACTGGTGATATTGTTGTATTGTCATCTAAAACAAATGAAATTGTGTTTATCTTTTAACTTTTTAACTTGACCTACCTACATAATAAAAGCATCTCTGAGGTGCTCTCACACTAAATCTGTTTTGGAAAATGTAAGGGACTTTGTTAAACAATGGACTTTATGGGAAACTATAAATTAAAAGGGTACAAGTATTTATTTTAATTAAATTCTCTTTTCCTGTCAAGCATGAGCATCATCATCCCGTTGTAAAATGTTTGACACATTGAGATTGAATCACTCACTGTCTTTTTCCTTTTATTGTTTTGGGCTGAAGACGTGTTACAGCTGAAACAGTTCAACTTTCATTCCGAGTATGTATGCACCTTATGATAACATTTGTTCTAGGGTTTATATTTCAGTTTGGTATCAGGTAACAGATTCACTGTGAGGTTACCCCGTTCAGTTCTGTTAATGGCTTAACCTCTGGCTCTATTCCTCGCATCCATCTGACCGAGAATGTAAAATCTACAGTATACGTCTGTCGTCGAGATACTTTCATGCTAATCGTCTTTGAATACATCATTATGGGACCTCACAAGCCTTTGGGTATAATACATGTTAAAGGTTTTATGAGTATGTTGCTGAATGGGAAAGCCCTTTTGTAAGATTGTTCAGTGCACCTCGCTTAAATAGACGCTTGTCATTTTTTGGTGTTCAAGGGAAACTGCCTTTCTTTGTAGTTGTTTGTGCTTTTGTGGTTTTTTCCATAGAGCTGAATGCTTAAGTAATTTATTTTGGATGTAAAAAGGACCATGTCATGTTTTAATTAACATAAAGAAGACTCAAATTAAACATTACGCTCATGTACTCTGTTGTTTCTCTTTCGCTTTCGCAATGAAAGGACTTACACAAATTACAGGGATGGTCAGTCAGTAAGATTGGAGGTCATTCAATTTAAAGATTTCCCAACAGGTGGAGCATTGTGTTTCCTGCACCTCATAATATTTTTTTTCTTAGGACCAACATTTTTATTGTTTTCAAATGTTTTACAACAGTACAATACCAGACAATAACTGATATAGAACAATATCCAACAAAGGAAACACTATCAGTGCGAGACAAATAAAAACAAACAGAAAAAAAAAATACAGACCTGACAAAAAAAAATTATAATTAAGTTAAATTAAATACAGGAATAAATCAGGACGATTAAAATATATGTAAATAAATAAAAACGTAAAATAAAAATAACAAAATTCCACAACCACAACATGATTATTTCAGATTAGGCTGCAGGGAAGTGTTAAGTTGTCCACCTTTTACAGAAAATTGCATTTCTGTGCACCTCATAATATGAAATGTTACATCATAATGCACCATAATCAAAACAGGCTTATACAATGAAAAGATGACAGTTAAAGCTTAGTTTGTTCACTTCACTACAAGTGTTGTAACATTCAGGAGGAGATGAAGGATGAGACTGCATGGAAGGACGTTTGGGGTGTTTAGTCAACTTCCAAGACAACACATCATGACAACAGGAAATGGATTTATAACTACAAATGAGGTAGCACGTAATCAGTATAGGCTATATAATCTAGTTTTACAACATTGATGAGTAGAGCAGCTCCCTTCGCTAAAGCTGAAATGCAATCCCTGAAACCCGGGTTGGTAGATATTCAAGACAATTATCTGAATCATTTATCTAATTTATCCAGAAACATCAAATTTTGGTTTGCAATCCTCAGAAGATTGTGTATAAGCTGTACATACTTTCAAGGACCATAAGATTGGAATATCTGACTATGTACTTACATCATTTACTTCTGTTAAGACATAAGACCCCACACCAGGTGTTTGGGAAATACATTATGTTTGTTTTTAGAACTGAAGTTAGCCGAAAGTGGTCAGTAATATGATTTGATTCCTTAAATGTGTGTGAGGACATTTGCCAATGTTTTCTATTTTAACTATCATATAAAGAAACTTATGTGCACGTGTAGCACACGTTGGAAAAAAGGCAGTGGTGTAGTGCTGGGTATTTATTGTGTGCTGATTTTATCCATCGTTGTTTTTTAAATGTTGATTGTTGTACAAATAGCAAGCCCTCTTTTGACTGGATCATAAATGACTTTAAACTTTATTTGTTATCTTTGATTGCAAGTTTTTCAAATTGTCTGTAACTTCTTGAATTTTGGGAACGTAAACCATGACTCACATCAACTGTCCTCATGTCAAATGTTTAACCTGTCTGTCTTTCTGTCAACAAGCTGTCAAGTTGTGATGACAGCACGACATGACAGTAGCAAAGGAAGTCACAAAGTAAGATGATCTGTCATGGAAAAAGACGAGGCCCTATTGTTTCACACAATATTGAAACATCGTTGAATCAATTTCAGGTAAACCTTAATTTCATTCAATCAACATCAGAATGTCTGTTCTTCATCACTGCAGCAGCCTCAGTTCACACTCTGCGTTATCCCACTGTCATCTCAGACGTTGCTGCATCTTTCAGTAGACATTTGACTGTAAGTATTTAGTATACTTTATAGGCTACCATACATGATCAAACTGTACTAACGGCTGATTGCATTTAATGTAAGACAATGTGGAAAAACTATTCGGTTAAGAAATATTCGATCTGTGCAATATTCAAAAATAACATAAAAATGTCTGCTTGCCTGATATAGAGAGATCTATCACTGCCTAATCTCCCACTTGACTATAAATCCATAACTTTTTTATTGCAATTCGACATCTCCAGGTCAACTAATTCATTCATTCATTCATTTTAATTTTCTTTTAGAACCACGTCTCTGTCTTGCTTGAGTTTTTGACCTTTATATGGTCAAGGTGTCAAATAATTCAGGCTCGTGGTGAGGACATAAACCTCTTGTTTTTGTTGCAACCTAAACACAGAATAAAGAGAATCACTCCAAGACTCTACAGACAGAAAGACAGATTGTTAATGACAGATGGACCGACACACAGAAACATACTGACTGCTGTATGTTGTGAGGCAGACTCTCACTTTGAATCCTCTCTCTGTTTCACTGCAGTTGATGACTTCTGGTTGGCTGCAGACTTGATGTGACCTGCAAGGCTCTTCTAGAATAACAGGATTTGCATGAAATATCTGAACCACATGGCGTTTGTGAGTTACATCGGCCACCTTGACATTTTTGCTGGCCAATGGATGACAGTGTGTGGGCTGACCTGCTAAAGTTCACTGGAGTGGCTGATGAGAAACCATTCCATCAAAACCTGTGCACTTAGGAGAAGTCATCTTTTGAACAGCTGTCCACTGTAGTGACCAGTATGTGTGAAAGGGTTAATGAAGCACAAAATCTTTGACGGTGCCTAAATGCTCTACCGTAAATATGGATGTAGACGCGCAATCGATTGTTTTAGATGGAGAGGACAGCGCGACACGTAGAGGTTATAGAGCCATATGGATTAGTGTGAAAAGTCATTGCCTATCTAACAATAGTAGTGGATGTTTTTCTTGAACAGAGGACAGATGATAAATCAGTGGAGTCTGAAGCGAGTGAGTCAACCTTTGACTTTGGACTCAGTTTGAAGACTTTAGTGTTTTGGTATATTTTAGCCTACATGCATTTTCCCCCTAGGCTACAAATACAAAGATCTTATGAAAGTCAATTGTGTCAGTTAAAACAGGTTAAATGTAGATGTTGTAATGTTTTGCTGTAACCCTGACAACAAGCCGGAAAAGTGTTCATCAGGCTGACAGCAGAGGGAAGAAACTGATCTTGTGGCTCAAATGGTTTGATCTGTTCTTAAAGACATGAAGTAGAAAACAGCTCAGGTGTTGCTGCCTCCTGATGAGTTTATCAAGTTGGCTCGTCGGTCATTATGAACCTTGATGTTATTTCCACATGTTGGTGGTTCCTTGATGCTAATGTTGTAATGTTGTAACTTTAACTATAAATAGTAACTCATAGATAAATATTTACATAAACAAAACAAAAATGTCTTCCTCCTCCTGCTTGCAGGGCCACAGTGTCCTTGTGTGTCTTGAAAGGTACTTATAAATACAATTTATTATCATTATTATTATTATTATAGGCAGGTATATGGATTTTACAATGCATAGAAAACACATGAAATAGGCAACAGGAATAGATCAGATTTAAATAAAATTTTGTGAATTTACAAGATGGCATTATTACCCTGAATCTGCTACCAAAGATTTTTATTTTTTATTTTTTTTATTCAGCTTTACACATTTATATTTACATATCTCAGTTGGTGAAACTGGTAATAATTTTACAAGAATTATTAAAAAATGTATAAAAATAAATAAATAAATAAAACACATGGCAACATCTTCATCCGACAGAGAGGAGACTGTTGACAAGTAGAGGGAAAATTGCTTCTTCAAAGAAGACATCAGATATATCTGTCCATAAACACACAAGCAATTGTTAACCTTTCACATACATCTCTATCAATATATCTACTGACACGTCCAAAATAAACCAAAGAAATATACATAATGTTTTCTTTTAATAAACTGAGATTATGTAAACCCTATCAGTAATGTAAGGTAAGCAATGTAGGCTATTTCTTACCAAAAATGTTTTTGCTTTCATATCTGATAAGGTTGTCCCACCTGTGTCAGTGCATGCTGGATGCTTAGGGGCCTTTGGTTTGCCTTCAAATTGATCTTTTGTTTTGGCGTTGATGCCGCACACTTTGAAATAATGAATATGTGCGTTTTTCATGGCCGCCGTTAGAGGGCAGCATTTCGCCATTGCAGCGTCTAGTCTACCGTATCAAAAGATAACGAAGAAGAAGACCATCCGCTGTTATTACGGAAAGTATGGCGGCGAAGGCAGAGCGCGGAGTGCCGCTCAGTACGGTCAGTAAAACGTTTGTTTTGGTTTGTTTGGGGCGTTTCTGCTCGTTTCTAACATGTAGTGTTCAAAAGAGATAAAAGCATATAACGTGTTGTTATGTAGACAATGGGCTGGAATATTCTGGAGGTTTGTGTTTATAGATAAAATGCTGAGTGGCTCTCTGAGTTTAAACTAGAAAAACAACATAAATTATTTATAAAGTTAATATTAAAATAACGCTTTAAATCAACATTTATTTATTGCTGCACTGACTTCTAGTAAAAGACTACAAGTGTGTTTATTAAGGTTGATATTGACTTCCGGGTCCGTAGCTAAGTTGTTGATGTTCCACATTTAAAACAAAAAATAAAATTAAAAACAAAAAGTTTGAACCTTAACTGACTTTTCAGAAAGTATTTAAAACAAACAAAAATTAAAAATGCCGAAAATGTCTTTACACTGTTTGTGTTTAATCTTTAAATCCATTTATTTAAATTTGGGTAAAAAAAACAACAACAACAACAAAAGAAGAAGAAGTGTCAACACGACCACACTGCTGTTTTATGAATATGTCATAACTTTAATTCTTCTAAATACAAACATAGGTAGACAGAATAATGAGCCACCTTACACATGTTTGCAGAAAATCAACATTCAGATAATATATCATATTCCTGTTTACTGTAGAGGTGCTGAACACACTAATGCTCTGAACACTTGTCATTGTTTTCAGGTGAATGTTTTTAGTAAAAAGTGATTCTGATGATTTTACTTTCACTCTAAACAAAGCCTGACGTCTGCAGACTTCTCTTCTTTTATTTAAAACTTGTTGATTCTTCCTGGAGTTGGTTTCAAATCCTGTAAGAACATTCCTGTATATCAGAGAAGAGTCCTCTGAAAAGTCAAAGTCTGCGTCTTCGTTTTGCTCCTCTTGCAGCTCTGTCCCAAGTTTCTTCACACCAATTCCACGAGCCACACCTGGCCCTTCAGCGCCATCGCCGAGCTTAT